TAGACCTCTCACAAGTATACAGTTGCTAAATACCCATTACATTTGAATGGTTTGTTTCTAAAACCCCAGACAGATGTCCATTAGTTATCTTGTTTAGGATCACCTCCTTTTCAAATTGATGACACTTTTGGTACATTCTGGATTACTACCAAGATGGCCTCAAAAACATTATGACAAGTAATTCATTCACAATTATGATGCCAAATGGTTGAGTATTTTATTTCAAACACTATATTGCTTTAGTTATACCAGCAATAAATTGGAAATACGCCATTCAATTTGCAGTATCTCTTTCACTTTAATCTGTTCTTAACAGGTCTTTGCATCCAAACAGCTGCAGGGAACAGCAAGCTTACTATCAGAGAGTCCTCATGTTGCTATTTCATTCTTCAAGGTTAGAACAAAAGTCCCATCTGACCTTGGAGTGCTATTCTTTACAGGCAGAAAATAGAGAAACAATATAGAGATGAAGTATTACAACTGAGTCCTTCCCCATGAAGACCACCCCCAACCCCCACCCCAACTTCCAGGGATATTCCAGACCTCTGATGTAATCATATTACTCATGTTTATGAAGACAAATTGTTTCGTCCAATGCAGGGTGTAGTCTATTCTGTACTCTACACTTTTTGATTTTGCGATGAGTCAAATAATATTCATCTAAGTTTTGTAATGGTTTGCAGCTTTCATAGGGAAAGCAAATTGTGGTATGTGATAATTTTACCTATGATAATTATCACATTACATACTCCATTCTCCTCCCAATGTTTCTTGAAAAGTTGAATCTTATTCCTGTATTATCTCCATTTGAGAAATCTGCTCATCCCTATAATCCTAGCATCAAGAATGCCCTTGCAGGAGTGATTCAGAAAAAATATATTATAAATTATATTCTTTTCGGAGAGTGTAAATACATTTAAAAATACAATAATATGGTTTTATTTCCTAAAGAATTCAAAATAGATCAAACCATCTCCTTTCCGGGACATTGAAACTCAATGTACTCTTTCTATATTAGTAGGTTTTAGAGCTGCCAGTTAGAAATAATGGGTAATTGTTACAGTCATTCAGAAAACGTTTATGGAGGTCAATGGGCAAAGAAATTCTTTTAGATAGGAAGTATAGTAATTTTGATAATGTGCACTTAGAAAAGGATTTCCCCATCATATACACATGCACAGCAGCAATAGGAATTTAACCCCTGTTGTGTGAAGTCTGACAGCAGCGGTTTGAGAAAGCTTTTGGATAGGGTGTATATATTTTGGATAGGGTGTATATATTTTGGATAGGGTGTATATAGTACTTTTAGCATTTAATACAGAGCTGTATAACTTTAAATCAAACAAGCCAAACATAATCTGTAAATACACAATTTAATGATGAAGCTCACAGACTTCACACTTCTTCAGGTGTCCTTTTATTTATAAAAAGATTTCAGAATTTTAAATATGTTTTAACATTTATGTTAGGAGACATGAAATTGGAGCACTACCAGCCCTTGCTTTGGGACAAGGGTAGCTAAAGCATGAACACCTGAAAAAATCATTAAATATTTATTCATTGTTATATGAGCCACAAAAAGTCATGTCAAATTGTAACAGTGGTGTAGCAAAATAGGAGTTAGGCTGCTGAGTCATCAAGACAGTAAAAGCATTTATTTCTCATTATCAAGAACTGAGTTAAAAATGGTAGGAATTCTTCTCTTATTCTGCAGATTACAGTCCATAGAAATCATTGTCACATGGGGCTGTGCAAATGTTCTGTCTTGTAACTAATGCAGTTTTGCATGATGGATACATTACAGAGCCCCCAGGCCAGACACTTCTGAAGTCAGCCTAAAATGCAGGAACAAAATCAACAAAAACAAAATACTTCTCAACCTTGTAACCATGTTGAAATACAATAAACCAGGTACATGATTCATTGATAAAATCCTGACAGTGCTTTCTACAGAAAGATCAAGATAATTACATAAATTTGGAATAGTTTTTACAACAAATTCTCAAATGAGCAAGTTGTTAAATAACTGAGGTACTTGGACATTATTTCCAAATAGTTCCTTCATTATATACAAACAAAAAAAAACACTTTTAAAAATAAGCAACACTGTAAGAATGGCAGTTCTATCTCTAAAGTACAAATAGTTGATAGTGGTAATTTAGTGCAATTTTGCTAAAATAGTGAGCCTGCAGAATACAACAATGACATACATTGTAATACTGAAAGATACATAGTCCTATAAAACAGCACACTAGGACTGTTAATTTTTTTTGAAGTATCACTTCTTAACAAGTGTTGCATTTGCATTTTGTTTTTTTCATTGTATGTTCAAATACACTGAATACAATTAAAGTTTTGTGTATTGGTCTGACGAGTGCAAGATGGATGAACATGGCAAGTCAATGAGATTTTGAATTCAAAAAAAGTGGCTAAAACAATATCAGATTACTGTGTCAGTGCTACAAAACTAAATTAAAAAGGTAGACGGACAAAACATAAAATGTAGTATAAACTAGTTCCAACAGGTAAAGACCAGAGGATTGGGGCGATAGTTATTTTCATTGGGTAGTTCCCTGCAATTGTTTTCAGAACAGGTCGGCAGCAGTTTGCACCCTGACAAGTTGTGAGGTGGATTCTATTTCTTTCCAGTAATAGCTTGATAAAATATTTGAATGTTATCCTTTGAAGAAATGTTAAACTGTTAACATTTCTTCAAATAGAGAAGAGAGCTACACTATGAATGTTAATCTGTGGCCGCATTTGATCCTAAATTAAATTGTAATGTTTATAAGTCTTTTTCAACAGTTTCCTTCCTAACTCCTACCCATATACATATTAAGAGGCGTAGGTCCAAAATACTATTCTATTACTACACCTCCTCAAAATATTACAGTACTAGTAAATGTACATCACGTAGGCTGCCTCTAGCTACAACCTGCTTGACAGAGAAGTGGCCCTGCAACAGATTAGCAGTGTGTGGATGGTTTCCTCTTCCATTAAAAATCAATTAGAAAATGAACAGTATAGTGGCATCTTCAAAATATGCTACGTGACCCACAAACATAAGCAAACAAAACCAAATTCAGATTTCAGAATGAAAAGCGAGTCTCTTGCCCAGTACATTGTCGCACAGAGGGCCATACACTGCCTTTACTGACTATTCTTTCTAGCTTATTTCAATAAGAACCCAGAGTATGGTGGGACTTCTATTCTACACAAATCTGCAGCTGCTCAAATGTCTCATGAAGGTGCTGTCTATCTGCTGCATAAATCAGTGACCTGATCAGTAACAATGAAGCTACCATTCTGCCAAATTATAGGTTTTATGGTGCTGGGATGAGGAAACTCTTCCATGTTACTTGTTCTCTGTCTATGTTCTCTCCAGACATTGCATTAACTGTGGCTGAGAGGACATGCAGTAGCTCTCAGGTCCCTCCTGACCTGATTGCCAGTAGACATGCAACAGTGGCTTGAGAATGATGCTCTCTTTGGGACGCTACCTGGCACGAAGGGTGCAATATAAATGGGTTTAAACTATAGGATTTGTAAAAGGATTAGTAAATAGAGAATCTTGGATGTGTCACAGTCAACCCTCTGCTACTCGGCCTTTTGCGCCAACTTCACAGATGTCAGAACTGTCCGTGTACCGGAGAGTCAGCAATGACGCATCAGGGATTCACTGCTTACAAATATTTCTTGTAAAATCCCACCTATTAGACCCCAATGTCACTAGTTTTAATGTCTACAGATTGAAGCACTCCAAGCCTTGTGCAATGTGAAGCAGGGCTAGGTATATTGAGCAAGTACACAGTTGTGGCTGCTGCTGAATCTTACCATTAAAAATTCAAGAAGTCAGCTTGACTGAGAGTGTGTCATCCCCATATGTAATCACTGATCTTTTAAATAAAGGTAATAAACAAACCCCTCCCCCAAAAAGTGGTGCATGACTCTGTTTCTTCAATTTTCTGATTAATAATTTTCTCTGCTTTTCTTGAGTCTATGTCTTTTTGTTCTGTGGAGAACATGTTTGCAAACTAACCACCTAGCTTCAACCGCAAAATATTCCTTTGTTTAATGAACGTTCATCAAATCCAGATTGACTGTGAGAAAAGACCATTAAAGTCTTTTTTATTTATCCGAGAATTTGCAGTTTATTCAGGATCTATATTGTCTGTCAAAAAAGTGAGAAAATCGTGGGACAAACTGACACAAAACAATTGGGGTTCAGTTAGGTGAAAATTGGGATTTATTCTGGAAAATTCAAAATCAAGTCAGTTACTAACAAAACATTAACTTTGCTTTTTTAAAAAACAATTCTACCTTTACAGATCGAGGTAAGAAATCCGATTGATTTTTTCAAGGCAAGAATGATACACACACCTCCAAACCCACTTCACTACATTCCTGGTTCTGGGAATTTGTGCGTAGTACAATCCACACAGATTCCCAGATCTGTCTTCCCAGTCTGTGCAATGTGATGCATGCACAATTGCCCAAACCCTCTCACCCACCCACCCACACATCATTCCTGGAACCAGCAGTGTAGGGAGGCGAGTTTCAGGGTGAGTGTGCGCCATCACCGATGCCAACAATATTTGCAAATTTAATTTTTAAAAATGAAATTCAGCCAAAATTGTTTTTTGCAGATTGACTTTTACCCAATCAAAACAATGGGTATTTAAGAATGAAAATTGGGAAATGAAGAAAAACAATTTTAATGGTCCTGAAGTATGAGCAGGGACATTTATTGTGGTTATGTATATACATACACAGCTTTCCCCACTTAACCTTTTCCATCTGTCCATTTTTTGCTGACTGGAGTCATGAGGCTCTCACTGACTAGCTGAAATGTGTCTGCTGTTGTGAGTCAGGGCATGCATACATTCAATCCATTGCTGAATATTCTGTTTCCCCTGGCAGTATGGTCTTACATCTTTAAAGATGGTATTCCCAGGACAGTTTCAATTTAGCAAATGTGTTATCGATTCAGATCTTCTTCCCTGCTATGGTGCTTTTATGAGACATACTGTACATGATAGTCTCCCTTTCCCCCAGTGAAAAGCTTTGCCGTTGTAAGGTTCTCCATCCAGCGGTCAGGCTAAAAGCTAAATAACAAAACAAATCCCAACCAGGCAGGCAGATTTGAGTCGAAGGCAGTTCAGGACTTCAATATATGTCTTTCGGATTGTACAGCGAGCACTCAATACTGCACTCCCAGGTCACTGATTCAATTATGGTTTTAATTCTCTTCTCAGCGAGATACTGCGGGCTGACTGCAATGTCATCTCAATAACTAAAAACAACTTTATTGAATTTTATCGGTCATGCATATGACCCTCCCTTACATCACTTTCTTGCAAAATGACATGTTTATAGCTTCTTAACTTTTTCCTTGTTCTAACAGTTCCCTTGTCTGTCGTGAGGTTGGGATAGAATTGATGACAATTCTGCTATTCCTGAGCAATCTGTGAAATATCCCTGCCTCAGATTTCAGTTGTGGAATCACTGGGTACCATCAGAATAATCTCCCACTAAAAAGCCATAATCATCTTATCTCAGCTTTTTAAAAAGACAGATTCATAGTCCCTTTTATATAGGAGGTCTGTGGGCTGTTGGAACTAGTTGCATCATATTGTTAATAGTAATGGAAAGTGGAAGACAATTTTAGGTGTCAACATTACATAAGAAATTAAGAAAGTTTAATTTTTTTCGTTTTCTTTCCTTAGTATCTATTATCTACCACAGGATCTTGGTAGAGACTGGAAAACCTGCATTCACATCCCTTCAATACGGAGCAAACTTCTGCCGGTCAGATTTCTTAACCCCACTCGTCGAAGGAATTTTGGCAGTGTAAGCAGATAAATTCCCCGAGGCCCCCGCAGCCGCCGCGGCATTAAGTGCCAGGAGTGGGACAGTTTTCATGCCAAGCAGACTGGAGACAGGAACGGCATAGTGGGTGGTCGGTAAAGGGGGAGAGGTATTCACATTAACCGCGGAGGCAGCTGCCGCTGCCGCCAAAACAGCCACAGAGGTGGGGGTGGAGGTAGGGGTAGCAGACTGAGAGAGGTTCATGTTGAGGTCAACAGGGTTCGTGACGGAAGCAGTCTGGGTGCTGACTTTAGCCATCTCTAAGCTGCAAACGAAGAGAGGAACAGGAACAAACAGTTGGGTGGGTCAAGCCAGGGTGGGTCAGGGTGGAAGGAGGGGGAGCAAACACAGAGGGTGGGATTAGATTGGTCAACATATGGAACAGGCAATTGGAAGAAAAGAAGGGAAAGATGAGGATCAAGGGGGGAACATGTTATGTGTTAAAGAAGAGAAATAACAAAAGGGTTTTTCATGATTTGATGATGAAACATTACTGAGACTCTAAAGTCTTTTCAAATAAAAGGTTCAACATTATGAGTGAAATTAATCTGAGGAAATGCACATAATGACTAATGATGGAAAAGCAAACTTAAAGACCAAGAACTTAATATAATTATAAGGTTTACTCTCCAGCACTACGAAACATGTCTGATTTGGAAAGGTTTTATAACATTATTATTTGTTCATCTACAGGATCGCATTACCATAAGTACCCTTGTATTTGATGCTTCAGTTGACCCTCAATGCTAATAAGGAAGATGGAAAGTGGCCAAATCTGGTTTGAAGGCTAGTCTATTACTGGAACACTCTCCCGACAATGGATTTACTGGCAAAAATGCTCTGGTGAAGAAAATGAAAGCAAATGACTTATTTACCAAAGATTGACATTTCTCTTTTCCTGTTATATTACATTATTTTTGAAAGCAAAATCTGAAAATCAAAAAATAATTAGCAATGAAAATTCAATCATAGAGGGTCACTGAACCTTGAAAACTAATTTCTACAAGGGTACCAATGATATACGCATGTACTGAACACCAACTAATTATAGCACTAAGTTCCAGTCAACATTTTCTTACAGTCATAAATTTGTTATACATTACTATATATAAACAATATGTCTGTGGAAGATCAGTTGGCTTAAGAATTGTTATGAATATGAAAAACGAGACTATTATGTCAAACTAAAATAATGTGCTTACAAGCACCTCGATACAAGACTTTAGTGCTATAATGCGTGTTTTCCAACAAGCTTTGAAAATGTTCCTTTATATTAGAGTAGAGTTTTAATGCTAGGCAAACTGTTCAAATATTAGTGTTTTAAAAACCTTACTGATGGAAGTCTCACACCTAATTAAAATTCTCACACAAATCCATTTTTAATTTTCTTTAAAATCACAGTGTGACATAGGTGTATAAGGACAAATAGTTAGGTCTCAGTAATGGATACTTAACAAAGATTAGCAAAGCGGGTTTTCTTTTTGAGGGGCTTTACTCCATTGCAGATTAGGTTTTACAATTGTTGACCATGCAGTGAGCCTGTAGAGCTGAATTCTGGTTGGCATTAAGAGTAGTGCTTTTGGCGATGTCAGCTGCTAATGGGATTTCCAAAAGGTGCTAGACGTAACATCGCTGGGAATTTCAGCCCACGTGTGTAAAGTAATGACTTTATTGTACACATCCTGCAAGCGTGAAAAAAGAGACCGGTACTTTGTAATAGTAGGGGTGACAATGATGACAAATGGCAATGGGCTCTTTATCAGGAGCAGCAGTTTGGGTTCAGCAGAGGGAAGGTGGAGGGAGTGTTTGAACATATTTCAAGCCTTTTTAAAAGAAAGTTTATTCTCATGGAAGGACATTTATAAGAACGAAATTGGTTAAACAGAAGTTTGTAATGTGTTTGAATCTGTAGATCTTAAATTACAGTATCAAACTGATGAATGCTCAAAAACATAATATTTAGCCGCCTTAAACAGAGTTTTCTGAAATATCTGAAAGTTCTCATGGTTGTAGCCTTCAGACCGGTCTTAAAGTTGAAAATCATACAGAATTTTGGAAAATTCTTAAATTCAGACTTCAAATGGCTTTCCCAAGTTCATTTTAAAAATTAAGGCCGAGTTCAAAAACATTTTGGGGCCTCTGGAACTTATTTTTCCAAATAGTTTTATGTTATATTTAGGACAACTTTAAACATGATGGTTTAAATCTTTGATTAAAGATGTGAATCTGGATGCTGAGACAGGTGTTTACACCATAGGTATAGTCTCAAAATCTATGGGATAAAGGATATGCTTCAGGGTTTAGTGACACAGTCTGCACCATAAGTCATGATGACGCAGAGGTTGTGAGAATTTAATTCAGAATTATGAAAAATGTAGGCTATTCATCTGAGATCAACAACAAGAGTAGAATCTAAAATACCCCATGTATTTACAATGTTTCATGTAGGGTCTAATATCCAGTGATTTCAAGCAGGAATCTGATTAGGGACTTTCAGTAAATGAAGTACATCAATCATGTTACACCAACTCATGTAAACTGCTCTGAAAATAAACAGCACAGAGCAGGTTGAAGTGACATGCTTACTTATTAAAAAATCCTAATAGAAATCACTATTATTTTTTGTCCCATTGAAAAACATTGAGACAGTCTATATGCAAACTGATCTTCTACTACTAGAGGCAATTGAATTGGCCTTTGGCTCCAATCTTTGGTTAGGATGGGTAAAGATTGCATCTTGACATGCTCCCACACTTTGTTATTTTAAAGGCCCCAACTGCACTCAGACTTCATTCACCCATTTGGTGATTGGATTATTTCCAAACCAATAAAGATTCAACTTTGACTTCATTTAATCGAATCCCAAAATTTGAATGATTTGGGATTCTGCTTGATTTAATTTTGTTATGTGCTGCTGGCATGCTTTCTAAACACCATACAAAGCAATCTTTTAACAGTGAGTAGCAGAGAATGGTTACTGTGTGAAATGGGGCAGAACAGAAATCCTCAAGAAGAGAGAGCGGAGCATATGCATCAAGAGATGAACAATTCGAAATGGGAGGAAATAAACATAACCAAGTGAAGTTTTAACCAGGGGTGTCAATGGTTAGGGGCCAGGGTTATATGCAAATTAAAACCTTACAAGTATGAATCTGTCTGAAGTCAGTTTATATGCAAATAAAGAGCACCTCCAAATATCTGTTAATTTGTCTCCTGAATTTGGGTCCGATTAGTTCTCAAGATCCTAAGAGAGGGATGGATGAAGTAAACCCTCCAGCCCATTTGATTTAATCCTTTCAGACTACCCACCTGACCAGCTTCTCATTCTTAAATAAGTTTAGAGTCCTGGCCTCTACCACCCTTCATAATAATCTGCTCTGGTCATTACCTTCTCAACAGAACCCATGCCCACTGATTCGCTGCCTTGTTATAACTGAAATGATTGTACTGGCTTTAATTTCTCAATCTTATTTAGCATTTGGTCCTTTTAAGACTGAATGGACTTGTGTTATCTTGTAGTTGTCCATAGCTGATGGCATTTCTCTTTATTTTCATCCTTACTTGTTTCCTTTGAACAGCCTTCAGAAGCTCCCTTGGTGTCAGGTGTCTAGAATTGTATGCTATATTCTAGGTTTGGCGAAACTAGTGCATTATACAACACACATTATAGTGCTTGAGAATAACTCCTCGAGATCTGAGCTGAACTGATTTCACAATGTAGCCCAGCATCATGTTTGCCTTGGTTTATTACTGCCTGCAATGTTTGGACAAGTTAACTAACATAACAACACATGGGCCTATTACAATTTTTTATTAGATAATGAAGATTTTAATGCATTTCCCTGCCTTATCTTCATATCCCCTAATATTCATACTCCTTAAGGATCCTATCTCTCTCTCTCTCTCTCTCTCTCTCTCTCCCTCCTCTCTCTCTCTCTCTTAAACATCCAATCAATTCTTTTGGGGCAGTGCATTCTACATTCTCACCAGCCTCTAAGTGAAGAAATGTTTTCTGATCTCACTTCTAACTGGTTCAGTTCTAATTCTGTGTCCCCTTGCTTTGCATCATCCCTCGGTTTCTTTCAACTTCTCCCTTAGTATGTTCTATTGTGTTCCTCCTATTTTTACTTCCCAAACCTTGCACTGATCTGTGCTGAACTTCATTTGTCAGTGATAAGCCCAGGTGTCATGCTCTCTTCATAAGATCTTGTCTGCTTAGATTCCAGATTTGCCCCTAACTAGGTGCAATTTGTAACTACTTTGGACTGAAGTGAGCAGTCCCAGGAACGAATTAATGTCATTGTTAAGTATCTGCAGTAAGGTGTGATATCTCCTATTTTGCTTTTACCAGGTTCTTCAATAATGTCTCCAAATTGCAAATGGGGAATCCTTCTGGTAACTTGGTGTCATCATGCCAACACACAGGAACTCCATTCCAACATGATCTATTCGAAAGTGGAGTTCCCAGTTGCCAGTGTAATGCTCTTCATGGGAAGGAGGCTCATACTTGGGAGACATTATTAAGGAATTCTGGTAGAATTTGTTGTATTCATTATTAATGTTAAATCTGCACACTATTTTTATTGGTTGTAACAGGTTTCTAATGTCCCTTGCATTGAAAGTTTTCAATCCTTTTAGTGACCATGTACCAAGCCACTGTTCCCCTGTATATATCACATTTGTACCACAAGTAAAAATGTAGACACAAATTTGTGTTAAAAGGTCATTTGTAATTCTGTGGAAAGACTTACACATTGAAAGCTGTTAAGCTTCACTCTGATGCCCCAAGGAAACAGTTATAAAATCAGAGAAGCAGAAATAACATCACAAAGAATGGTATTACCCAAATGTTAGTTTGTTCCAATGAATTCTAAAGATTCTGAGACCGTACCTCTCGTCTAAACAAAGGCTACATGTCAAGGCTTCATTTTATGTGATTACTAAAGTAGAGGAGTATTTCTCTTGGGGGGCAATTTATTTCCGTGCTATGCCAGTATGCATTTATCTTATTAGAAACTCGCCCCAGGATAAATTTACGAGCAAAGGCTCACCCCTAGCACATGAGCATTAGTGGACAATAGCAGCTGTAGTTGCCAGTGGCACAGAAACCATATTATGGGTGTGCAATACATGTTTGTGTCTTGCATCCAATTTATTTTGTTATAATTTTTTTAAAAAATTAGATGCTTTTCAGCAGGAACCTATTACTGGAAATGGCAGAGGGGTATATAGTGACTGTCTGAGTTGAGTGGCAGTTGTGGTGGAGCACACGGTCATAAGAAGCTCAGCACTGAACATTGAGAAGAGTTGTGCTGGTCCTAGAGGAGAGCTGCTGTGTCAGACCCAGAGAAGAGCATTGTGGAGGAAAGCTACTTGACATGCGTGAGACTTGGAGAAGTCAACTGTTTTGGTCAGGTGATGGGACTTTGTTGATGAATTTTCTGTGAGAACAAAATAGGCCTTTTCTTTCTATGGTAGGGTTAGATGTTAATTATGAATTAAATAAAACAACAGGTTTTTGAAGATTTTTGAAGAAGTCTAAGAGGATGAATTTGAATGTTTATAGGCTGGGGTTTGTGGTGAGTATTATTCAAGGGTTCGGTTTAATGACTGTGAGTTTAGGTCTTAGTGATGGGAGGAAGCTGGATGGTTTGTACCTGCATCTGGTGTGAACATGCTTTGCCTTATAAAGGGGACTGAGTTGGGGAGAGGAGGTGTAAGGAGAGGTTTTTCCATTGTGGTGCTGTATGACATGAGGTTAGTTTCCTGTAACCTCCACAGCACAAAAACATGCAACTATGCCTTTTTCACAGTTGGTAATATTAAGCCTACCCAACACTGACACTTTCTGGCAACCAATTCTCAAACTTTTTCACCTCATGAAAAAACATGAGTTGAATAAATTGGTAAATTATTTTCACAGCACAGAGGTTTTACATCTCTTAGCATTTTGACATGTTTTCCATTCATTGCCTGATCACAGGATTTTTTTTTTTTTCTTTTTGGACCTGTCTTTCATCTCAATCTTGTGCTTAAAGAAATATATAGTATTAATAATTTTGTTTTAAACCTAGCCTTTTTTTAAAAAAACTCTTTCAGGAAATGGTAGATTAAAGAACTCTTTTATGATACTTTAGCTAACTACTGTATATTCCAAGACATAGATGAAGGTATCCTTTCTGCTGCCTTATGTCCTTGGAATCCAGTATCCAGCCTTCTTCCCCCACCGACAGCTGTCACTTCTGTCATGAACTGAAACAATGAGCCTAAAGAATATAATCTAAAGATGTACCAGCCTTTTATCTCACAGCAGACTGGCCTGTATTCTTCCTGTGCTTTGACTTAGGTTCCAAGGGAGACATTACTGCTGGAATCTAGTCACAAGTTGGCAGCCATAAGCTTTGAATCAAAAAAATTATGTTAAGAGCAGGGTTGCCACAACAAAAGTTTACAAAAATGTTTCCTCTCAATATTAGCTATAGCTATTAACTAAATTGATTTAATTCTGTGCCTTGCACCAACAAAAAAAGGCACTCAACAGTAATTTCTGTACTTGTGATGTGGTTTGAGATACTTCAAAGTATTATTAAGGCACTAAAAAAGTGCATATCTGTGCTTTCTTCTTTCTGTAGTGTTAAGATACCAAAGAGCAATAAAAGCTATGTACATTGTTTTACCTGTCATTCTTAAAGGGACAAGCAAACTTTGACTATTTTGTAAACTGTTTGCCAAAAACGTACTTGTGTTACTGTTTTCTCTAAAACTGCTGCCAGCCTTTAGAAGAGACATGTTTGCTTGTTTGATGTGTTGTGATATATAGTCATAGGGCAATAGATATATAATAGTCACAGTCATAATGCCATAGATTTTATATGACTAATGCCACAGTCATATAATTGTGAACTCTCTTTTTATCCTGGACATCATTTGCCAGGACTGTCCAATACTCTTGGCTATTATTTAATTCACTTTCTCTGATGCTGTAACCCCACAAACCAGGACTAAATCATTAATATTCTACCATAGTGGAATTATATCTATACCATAACACTTGAAAAGCTTTCTCATGACTCAATAATGAAGCTTAACTGGCTTCAATGTGCATTTTTTTCACAATTATATGAACATTTTAATAAATGGAACTTTTATACAGATCAAAGTTCAATTGGTGATATAAACAGAACACAAAATTAGGAACAGTGGGAAACAGTGTTTAGTCAACTTGCGAATAAGACCTTTGTAATCTATTCTGCCTTCATTTGTGAGTTGTGACATTTTCTCACTTGTGGTATAAAAAGCCCCATTATGATTCTTCATTGTGTATGAAATTGCTATTTTATTTTCGACTGCAACACTCAGTGTACAATTTCTTAACACTTATTGAACTCTAGTTATCAAAAATAATGAAGGTGAAACCTACCTTGCATTTATGAGGTATTGTGCCAAGCTAATATTTGCCGGGATCCTGTAATGGTAACTTGTCGCTCTGCAGAACCTTCTGCTGCATTAGCAATTTTGATCTGTGCTCCTGACATCTGCCTGATTTCATTTATTTTACTGCCTTGTCGGCCAATAATGCAGCCTATCAACTGTAATTGAAGAAAAACAGAGCAACTGTTTGAAAATGAGACCACATGGAATCCATCTCTATGTAAATGAATATTTCTTGAAGTGAATATTTCTGTTAAGTTAACAGAAAGTGAAAGCATAAAACAATGGAGTATCACTAAAACGTGATATCTGCAGTCCGACTGCACTTCTTTTGTTGACTGTGACTTTTGCTTTGAGAACACTGCTTTAGAAATGCTGTGGCTGGCAAAGAGCCAGACAGCGACATGAACAATTAAATGTCTGTTATTTCGCTCGCTGGCCTATTTTAGACTTCACAATTCGATTTTCGCAAACCAGAAGTCGCAATTAACAAAATACATCTGGATTTTACCAAAATCTACTAAATGTTGGTGTGTGATTACGTATTATTATAGCTCACGCTGCTACAAGGCAGAACATTTATGATAAGCAGAGAATAACTACCAATTCATATGTATAGAACTCACCACCAGTAAATTAATATAAGTGATTTTATGTTCCTGTTTGGTGTTTTGCAAAACGTCTTCATTTGTCTAGGTTAAAATGTCCATTATACTGAATTATTTCTTCCATGCCTATGACAGTAACTACTGTTGAACTACATCGAGCAAGTTATTCATAAGTTATTATAAAAGATTAATGTCTGCCCTTTCAAAGTACCTCCCATAGTGACGACTCATTGCTTATTAGTGCATAATTGACTGATAATGGTCCTTCTGGGATGGGTATCTGTGGATTAACCCAGGGCTAGTCTGAAGTCAATTATTGTTGAGTTTAATGGATCTGCTCCAGATGTGCTAGGCTTGACCCTGCAAATAATAACTTAATAGGAGAGCAGAGACCTCACATTGTGAGCCCCTTGGTACAAAAATAACCTCCAAAGATGAAGAGAAGCACACACATATTGTTTTTGTATTTTTAAGAGCTAAGTTTGGAGTGTGGGTGGAGTGTTAGTTCTTTTCACACCAAATACTAGCCTTTGACTTTACTTGTTCTTTTAATTTGTTCTCTTCTTTTACATATTATTGCTCTCTCTGTTTTTGAGTACTTCTGAAAGTATTACTTTGAAGTACATCGACTTTGCTTAGTCACCCCCATTCCTTGGCTTGGCGGCAGGCTCCGCCACTGTCAAGCCCTCTGAGACATTACCCAGAGTGAAGGGTGCTATACAATGCAAGCTGTTGTTGTTGAATTATGCATCATACCAGTTGAGGGGATACCGCTGTGTACCTGTGCTAAGGAAGTGTGAGGGGTTGACAAGTGCCTTCCAAGTTTATATTCTTCACTATTCAGAAACATAATTCTCTGCCTGACTGGCAGTGTGCCTGAGATTGAAAGCTTCCCATGTGAAGAACTGTAGGTGCATACCAAACTGGCAGCAAATTCAGGCACCAGTGCCGTGCATCAATATTTAATATCAAACAACCTAGATTATTTACACCTGGAATAAATATTACCATTTAAATGAAACCTTCAGCATCTGTGTTTCAATATATTTTTCGGACATTGCATAACAACTGAGGCGAGTTAATCTTACAAGGAATCGTATGTGAATTATGTGACAGTAGTTTGCAATGACAGGATAGAATTCCTTACTTTGCAAATGAGATATGACTAAGTGCTGGCAGGCTTTTGTAGTTCAGTTATTTGAAGGTCACATAACTGAGTGAGATTGATGAGCCCTAACCCTGCATCTCCAGGGAATTCTGTAGCCTTCTGGCTGGGTATTTTCTTATGATTTCACTGCACACAATGTGAAGTTCAATAATATTCTATTGCACTATAATTCTACTGAAATGTCAAGAGTGGCCTTATTGATATCAATAAAGCCACAGCACTAATGAATAGGGTGGTCCTAGCTGGACAAGCGTACCAGCTAAAACCACAATGTCAAGCTATGTGGTTTTAGCTGGTTAGACTCCAGCAGTACCCCAACACACACTCTGGGGTCCCCAAGCCTCGGCTCATGCATCAGAGGCTGAGCCAAAGAATATGTATATACATGTTAAAATAAATCCTAAATTAAAAATAGTCATAAAATGATTACGTCTACCACTGGCTTTTCTTCCCTATCAATCTTACCTTTGATTTTCCATTAGCAATTATCCTTATTTTTATTTTACAATGTAATTTATCGTATTTTTATCTATCCATTTAAATAAGCTCTGCATGAATAACCCTGACCCTCAAAGACAATGAAGCAAAACACTAGAAGTTTTATCCACACTCATGTTGCCACTGCTGAATCCTGCTTAGCTCCCCTCCACAGGTGTCACTGCCTCTGAGCCCCAGCACTACAGCAACCATTTCTGCTCTCATTCACATAATCGTCAATCCTTTTATTTATTCAGCTTTTCTTTGGTCAACACACTATTAACTGCTTTTGAGGGGAGGTTGGTCCACAAATCTATTGCACTTGGAGGAAAGCCTGTGTCTTATAATTTTTCTCATACTTCATGTTAAATAATTTATTTATCTGTACTGCTCAGTGTTTTGAATCATGTTCTCCATCAATTGTCTGTCAACACTCTTTGCTCTTCTCTCTAGACTCTCCAAAGCAACACTATCAGTTTCCGGAGTCTTTAGGTTAGATTTTGATGTGACTGACCACTGAATCATTATAAACAGTTGTTTATGGCTGCAAGTAGTTTCAGCTGCCTGGGATAACGACCATTTTAAATTTAAGTAGCCTGATGCTTCAACGCAAAACAAGAAAATGAATACTGCCAGGTGAACCCACTTACATCAGCACTAAACAAACAGCCCAGTGGAATATAAAGGCTATTGGAATTTACAGAGTGTATTCTGAAGCCAACAGGTAACTGTTACATACAAAGTAGTGAATAGATTCCTTTGGATTGAATTAGATAGACATTACGAAATAAATTGTATCTTGCAATACATCACTCTATTGACAATTCATTACCAAACAGTGCTCATAATACTGGCAAGCTTGTTGGGCAGTGCTTAACAAATGGATCAATACCACACAGGCAATGATAACAGGCACTTTTAAGGTCAGACCCTGCAAGTCTGTCTTCAATACATGGTTTAATTATTCAAGTTCCCATTGAACATTTTTGAATCAGGAACTTTGTTAAAATTACTTGTTTGGCTGAAACCCAGCTGAACCAGTGAGTTCTGCAGTCAACTGAAAACCCAAGCCCTGAAGACTTACAGGATGATGTCACAAAAGTAACCTTGTTAATCCACAACCCGAAAAAAAATGGAAAGATGACAGTGGGGCTGACCAGGGTGTTCAGGAATGCATGTAGGAACCATGCAAGCAAATAGTATCCAAATATACTATAGAATCATAGAAACTTACAGCACAGAAGAAGGCAATTTGGTCTAGTATGCCTGTGCTGTCTCTTTGAAAGACCAAGCCATTCTCTCCCATTTACCTGCCTTTTCCCCATACCACTGTAATATAAATTTATATAGTATTAGCTGTGCTCAAAGGTTAAATAACAGCAACAATATTTTTTTAAAAAGGCAAAATACTGCAGATGCTGGAAATCTAAAATAAAATAATGACTTGCCCTTCACATAGGGTAGTGTCTTTGAGTGCATAGCTGGCATAGTTTGACTTCAAGCTAGTGAGAGAGGGGAGGTGACTGTAAGTCAAAGAAGATAATCTTCAGATGCGATCTAAAGAAAGGGAAAGAGGGGCCAACGTATGAGGCAGAGGGTTCTAGAGGTTTGGGGCATAGTGGTTGAAAGCATGACTGCTGATGGTGGAGGGCTCAAGGGAAACACAGAAGGCCTAAGCTGGCTGAGAGAATAGGGCGGGTAGAGGAATGAGGTATGATCAGGTTGGAAAGGTAGTGAGGTGTTGGGGCATGAAGTAATTTGTAGGTGAGTGCTCGGATAATAACAATAATAATCCTTGTATTTGACATAGAGCCTTATCACGTTTTTGAGACATCGCAAAGCGATTCACAGAATCTATTGTGAATGCACAGAATAGGATCTTGAAGTCGATCCATTCTGTGACAGGCAGCCAGTGGACACTGGCAAGGACTGGGGTGATGGGGTGCAGAGTTTGATACATGTGAGGATATCAATTGGACTTTGTGAGTTGGTGGAGCTGGGGAAATCAGTGAGGAATGCAAACATTTAAAATTAGTTTCAAACAAAGAAAACTCCCTGCCGTCATCTCAGACCTGCCATTTTCAATATTACACAAACTCTGCTGGTACAGACAACCATGATAGGCTCATTCACATGTTTGTCATTCAGATTTTCTGGTGAGAGATAGGGCCAAATGAGTAAAAGGCACATAGCAGCAAATCCAACTTTTGTTTTAAAAAATACCATCTGAAAACATTGAATGTCCTCATCAAAAATAGGTTGTTTTTGAAAACAAACAACACACTACTCCTTCAGAAGTTTGTGAAAATGGGCTGCTTGTATTGTACATAATGATAAAACAAATGGCTACAAATGCATTACAAGGCAGCCACAGAAAGTCCTGGATTCAGCTAGTAAGTTGGGCTCTCACAGAGGGTAACGGTATCTGAACCACCCTCCACTCCTCTGTTATGCAATTGCTTTGTACCCAGTAGTCTTATTTTGTAGCCTCATTGTGTAGAACATCTTATGACAGATCTTCACTGACAAGTGTGGTCTAAGAATGTCAGTGAAATCAGTAAACCTTAAAAAGCCTTCTCCTCTTCAAAACTTGCAGCATTAACCCAGCTTTTAAATTCCTATCCAAACAGTTTATTTTTGTTAATCTATTCTTGATTGAGGATTATTATCCTTGATACGCACAATAAGAACTCGCAAGAAGTTAAAACGTGACAACCAAATTGAAGAAAGTATTTCTCTAAATCCTGTTTGGTAGACTGTTATTTTAAGTCTGTTTTAATGTAATTCAGTATATTTTCCTCAGGTAAAGCAGGCAGTTACTGTGTGGTATCTGTATGAGCTGGAACATGGCATGCAGAGGACTGGGGGAAGATAATGTAGGAACACTTACATCATTTGGAATAGTAAGTTCATGGGAACTGGTTGGAGAAGAGCCATCCATTCCTGTTGGTGGGAAAGAAAGGGAAAACTGTTGGGATCAATTGCCTGGCATAGATTAGACAATTAAAGCACATTAAAAGTTTTTTTTATGTCAGAGAGTGGGGAGAGCAAAGAATAGTTGGCAGAGGTTGAAAGAGACAGCTGAACAGAATAAAGTGAAGAAGAAAAGAAAAATATAGAAAGATGGAGAAGGAAATGCAGTGATGAGGGAAAATGTAAAACAAAAAAAGGCAGACACTAAGATGCAGCAGGATGAGAATGTTTTTGAGATGAGAAGGAAAAGTGGAACAAGAGGACAAGGGGCAAGAGAGGATGGGAAAAGGGGGGAAATGAGAGAAGGAGCTGAAATGAATTAATATAAAGGATGTTGGCTTGAGGATAGTAAAGGTACAGGAGGTTAGTTTGCACTACATAAGGTAAGGTTGGTTGGAAAGACAGCTATCTCCCTAAGGGTTACACAAGTTGAAAGGACTACATTTTAAAAATTAATCAAACATCATAAGGGGCCAGGAAAGAGAAGAACGGATTAGTAAACTATCTGTTTCAGTCTATAACGAACATATATTTTCATGTAACATGCATCAAATGTATGTTAATGAGGATATCAAGGTTTTGCTAATGAAATTCAGGAAAGATGTTAAACAACAGAACATAATTATACAACATTGGGATTAATTACAGAAACATTACATTTAAATGATGCTACAACATAACATCATTAAATATGTTTAACTATCAAAGCTGTTAACAAGGGTACAAGACAACACGAAGAACTATTAATAACATAACTCATTACAAGGGTAATCATAAAAATTAGTCACAGTTAAACATGTGACAACAGGAAACTTGGTCATTGACCACATTTAATTAAGTGATATAATGACCATGGGAGATAAAGGTGCTTTGAGAAAGGACATCCCCAGGGAGTCACGGGTACGTACCAGGGAAACCAGGGGTGGTCTGCCCAAGGGGAGTAAAGGGGGTATGCTGCATAGCCAACTGGTGAAGCTTGGTCAACTGCAGGGCAGGATGGGAAATTAGAGCTAACCAATCAAATGGAATTATATCAGAATACAGAAACCATCTTTCTTAACAACAGGATTAATTCAATTAAATGCACATTTTTAAACAGAATCAGTTATTCTATACTATTATTTCAAAATATAATCGTTAGACTATTGACATATCTACTGTTACACAAGTGAGAATTACTGTTAATGCCAACTACTGTTTACATTTAAATGATTAACATTTCTTTCAGCTATATCATGCAAAGAGCAAAAGATTTGTATCTGGGCCAATGTACTTTCCAGCAGGTATAGTTCATACAATATTCAGGCTTTTACTTCAAGTAAGCGCTAGACACAGAAGAATCTACTGCCAACCGTCTTCCACTTCTTAAAGGCAGAAAGTAAATGTTGCCCAGAACAAATAAGAAAGACAGCACTGCTTATAGTGCACAGGACTCACGTCTGGATGAGGAATTGCATACTGTCCCTGAATGGTGTATGCCTGAAAAACAAGTTTAAGAACACGCACTTAAGTTTATCTGTGGACTATCATAAAGTAACATATAGCACCACACAACAGAAAAAGCAAGACTGCCAAATAACATTTATTTAAATATAAGCACATTTAAAATGAAAAAGCCGTTTTAAACTTCTTTACATTTAATAATGATTTTTTGTATTATACATTATTAAAATTTAACGGAGGAATAGCTTGCCCTTTTAGCATTCGTATGATGTTTAGTCAGAATATTAATATCTAATGTGAACTTTTTTGAAAAGAGAAGGGAGTTTCTCCTGGTATCCTGGGCAACAACACACCCCAGATAAAATTGGTCTTTCACTTCATGGCTGTTGTTTTACTGTGCACAATTTGTTTGGGTTCACCTACAAAATACATAGTCACCACACTTTAAAGTATATTATGTGAAGCGCTTTGCCACATCTTCCATATGTGCACTCAAGTGCATGTATCAAATGTAAGGATTATTATAAACTATTATTACTAATGCAAGATACTCTGGTTCAAAATAATCTTAGTTTAATTGGTATTATTCAAATGGTATTTCACTACATAGGGTGACATCCCAGAGAGACATACTATAAACATGAACATAATTCTTCTTAACTCACAACTTGTGGGATGAATTTTGTAACATAACCATTAGATTTTTCTTTCTAATTATTCCTCTTCTCATGTAAGTGTGTAGCCTTCTGGGATTGTTCTTAAATTACTACTCTTCTGTATAAGCTTAATTTAGTGAATGTCAGCAAATTATCAGATTGGAGGTGGAGGTGGGAGAGGGACAGAGATGTATGACAGCCAGGCCCTGATTTCTATCTATGTACACTCATTTTCAAGAAATAAATAATCTGCACTTTTATAGCATTTTACCATGTGGAAATGTCTCAAAACAATTCACAGTAGTTACTTTCAAATGTAGTGACTGTTTTGAAGGAAAACATGTCGCCATTTGCACCATCAAGGTTCCACAAATAGCCATAATCTGAATAACAAATTAATCTGCTGGGTTGTTGTCCAGACAAAAGGAGAAACATCCTTATCTTTTTGAATAGCATCTTGGGAACTTTGACATCCACTTGAAAACAAGCAGATGGAGTCACTGGGATGATTTGGCTTCCAACCCAAGCCCCAGTGACAGAAAGGTCAATTGCAACACCTGATTCTTCTCCCAACTGAGATCATCTAACTCTGCATAAACTAAGGATTGAAACAGGCACTCTCACAAATGTAACTAGAAACTAAAAATACTGCTCTTTTGTCTGTTCAGTGAATCCAGTTCCAACTAAAGCCATCCTCAGTTCCTTTGCTTGTATACTATTACAGTACTCTATTTTTAGCAACAGATAGTGAGCCTTTAATATTAATAATTCTCTTTAGGTATTGTGATAAGCACAATGGATCCAGGAAATAATTTCAGTCTGTGGCTGATGAATGGGAACTGCAGCATGGTTCCTTTTTGTACAAGAAACTAATAGCAGTTTGCAGTGGCTTAAAATAATGACATGCAAATATTCTTTTAAAAAAAAGCATTTAATAAAAATAATTGAATTGATATTAGAATCAATTTAAGAGAACCCTTACATTGTCTAATAAGTGGAGACAAATTACTATCAAGATCCACATATTGCCAAGTAAGATGGTAGAGACAGAGCCCATTGTGGGTTACAAGGGGGAAGTGGACATGTATACGAAATATAAAAGCTTGAAGGAATATGGGGAAAGGCAGGGGGCAGTGAGACTGAATGAACAGTTTGCTCTGAGAGTCAGTGCAGGCTAGGTAGTTGAATGGCCTCAGTCTGTGCTGTAAATTTCTGTGATTCTACAATTCATGTTTATCAGGAATCTTTGGTATGTGCTTTAATAATGGACTGAAATATTTCTAGGTAAAGATACGCCAAAACACGGTATACATTAAGGGCAAACTATTCCATAACACCAATACACCACACTATTGGTAAAATGTATGATGCACAGTTACAGTAAGATAAATAGCATGCAATAGTTTAGATTTCTAATTTTGCTATCTATACATCATCGCATCATTATTTGAGGTAGGGGAAACCAAAGCTGGTTTTAAAGACATCATTTATGGTCTCACGAGAGAAGCTCAATCGTTTGCATACTTTCTCATTCTCTTTGACGACTATCATATGTTTAAAAAGAACTGTTAACAGATTCAGATTGGTGCAGTGTTAAGGACACATTGATAAAGATCTCAAGCAGTATTAGCAATAATGAATTATTAGTCAACTCCCCCTACTTCAATAAGGTGCAAGTACACTACATTTCTAAATTAGTCATTAGATAAGAAAGAAGACAGAAAAAAATTTGAAAAACTAACAGGTGCTGGCTGTTGGTGGGCCAAGACGCTGTGGTTTCCTGCGGAAGCCAAAATGGTGTCTGCTCTTACCTGGCCACCTGCAAAAATGACGGGTGCAGAGGCAGGCTTTGGGCGGTAGGGAATAGTGGCGCCTTTGGGTGGGGACTAAAGACAAGGAACATAAAGCAACAGAAGCATCGTTTTATTTACATATCTTCTCGCTAAACTGAATGGTATTCATTCTTTTTGACCTGTTTTTGGAACTTTTCCAAAATGAGTTTTCATAAAACAGCATTAATCTCATAGCCTTGATGATTAACAGTACATTGTATTGTATTAGTACCAACAATTTAAGATACATTTTAATAAAAGGTCAACTAACGAATAAAAGAATTATAGAATTTTACAATAATTCAGCCTCAATAGTAGGCAGTTGTATTACATCAGATTTGATATTATTCTACTGAATGCAAACTTCAAATGACACGGTACTTTTGCAGTTTGTTTTCCTTATGTCATACCTCCAGCATCACCACACAGATCTGTTTTACACACTGAATGATGGCATCTGGTGTGCCAGAAATAGTAACTGCACGTTCAGTGGAGTTTGGGAGCATATCACCTGCTACCTGCACCTGGGCCCCTGTAGTCTATAAAACAGAAGAGTAGAAGCACACTTACATCCTTCTACAAGTACAGTTTGAATAGAAGGAAGTGATATTGCACAATTCAATAACAGTGATAGAAAGCTCAGTAGAACCATCCGCTGCTTCATTTTGGATGTCGATAATGACTGAATTATTTTATTCGAGACATTTTCAATTAAAAAGAAAGATGACCTACCTTGAAAAATCTTCTTCATTTCTGAAGAAGCCTCCTCCACACAAGCCCAGAGGCACTTCAGCCTTGCCTCATATTGTTGGAGAACAAACGTGATCATTTTGACCTTTATGATGTTCTACGCATCAGATGGTGCAAATGATCCCATGGATTTTATTAAAGATATTATTAAAACTGAGTACATGCATCAAAGCAGCAGCTTATTATACAATACTGTCTATAGAGCACAGAAGCAGGGATTTGGGGTAGTGTCACCCGACATGAATTGATGCACAATTTATCACAAGTCTACAAATGTGTGTTTTCCCCAGAACGTGAACCAAGCCTGATGTGTGGAGAGTGCAGAATAAACAAGACCTACCTGCTGAATGATTCTGAATTCATGCCTATTAGGGCTACCTGTACAGAATGCCAATATAGTCACCTTGGTAACTTCATCGTTTAAGTTTTGGTATGGCCGCTTGAAGATATATTTTAGAACAATCACTATGATATTCTTTTGAAGAACTATAAAGGACAAAAGGATCCGTAACATTCTTATCAGTTTGGGAAATAAATTCAACAAGATTGTGCATGGCAAATTTAAATTCTATTTCAATCCTATAGGATTTTGCATGTGCCTTGGTTATCATGGAGTCCTTGGTTATCATGGAGTCCTTGGTTATCGTGGAGTCCTGTAGCTCAGTGGTTAGAGCACTCGCTTTGCAAGCGAGAGACCTGAGTTCAATTCCAGGCAGGGCGAAACCTTGGGCAAGTTTCCTTACTCCACACACCTAATAATAATCCCTCCAAAAAACCAAAAACAATAATAAATTGGTCATTTTCAATCTACCAATGTTTATGGGACATTGCTGTGCGCAATTGGCTGCAGCGTTCGCCCACAAATGTACAGTCAATTCACTTTACAGTGTGTTCTGTGAAGCGCTTTGGGATGTCCTCCCGACAGAAAAGTGCTATATCAAATGCAAGGATTATTATTATTATTACCATCTGATACAGTGTGTGTCTACAGGACATATTTGAGAACTCTGCTGTATTCTGTGGAACAAAGATTATAACTAGCATCAGATCTGTGAACCCAAGGAGTCAAAGCTATAAGATAACATAATAAGGAAAGAGGAATAAGTGCACAATTATCACAAGACTGTACAGATGAAAACATAGCATTTAATATAAATCATCCCAAACTCCAAAGTTTCCCTCCATCCTAAAAGCAGCTTGACATGGTGTTAATGTCATTTGTACCATTTGTACCAGCTCAGTTTGGTTTCCATCAGGCAGCAATATTTAGCCATGTAGGGGTACATGACAGAATTCCACAGCCAGGCAGGAGATATTATTCTTTACAAAATAAATGTAAAACTCGACTTATCAAAAATTCAAGTGTTTACACAAACTAAGCCAAAGATCCCAATAGTGTTGCAGAGGAGAGGTGTGTCTGCTGGAAGTTAAATGTCAATTTAAAGCAGTGATGCCAACCTTTTTGAAAAGAATGGAAACAAAACATTGATTTAAAAATGCTCACTTAATCCTCTTGACGGCCCCATGGCCCATGGGTTGGACAGCACTGATTTAAATACTTAAAATAATTAATCCCATGACTATGTGGTGCAGGTTAGCACATTGTCCTTTCATCTCACCTATCAAATACAGTCACTGCACTTTGCAGCAAATCCTCTGAAGTGTTGAAATGTCCTCCCGACATGAAAGGTGTTGTATCAAATGTAAGGATTATATTATCTTGTATCTGGGTCAAACCCAGATCAGACCGATGGGATGAACAATTCCTCCCTCTGCAGACTCTAAGTTATATGTGGTCAAACAGTCTCTATTCAATTCCAGGGAGAATAGAATAATTTACCAAATGCAAAACGTTACGATGTTGGTAATTGTAATGAACAACAACAATAATAACTTGCATTTATAATGTATGTTTCACACAAAAAGAACTGAATCAACCTCCTTTACAAATATAACTAATTAGAAATGAAGCCAGTGTTGTTATACAGGAAAATATGAAAGCTAATGTGTAATGTCCAATAAACAAACAAACAAACACACAAACAAACACACAAACAAACAAACAACAATGATATTAGCAGCCAATTCATTTATTTCAATTTGGGAAGTAAATTTGAATTGAAGCGACTGTAAACCAGGATAACCAGGAGGAAAGGTCCCGTGTCAATACTAATAGCATTATTTGAACCAACCTACAATACAGTCTTCATGGTCATTTACTGTAGATGGACTCTTACCAATGCTCTTATAATGCTCTTATAATGCTGTGCAAAATAGGTGATGTCATCTGCTTCGCCCCCAGACGCCCTCACCAGAATAAGGGTTCTATACGGTATTTATATTTCATCAGATAGATATCAGAAGGACCATTAAATGTTAGAATCGAGTTGCTGATCAGTTACCTCACGGATTTCTTTGATCTTTGAGCCTCCTTTTCCTATGAGAGAGCCACATTGACTTGCAGGAACAACTAGACGTAGTGTCACAGGCGGTTTACTTGTCACTGTACTGTTTGTCATTGAAGCATTTATGTCCTGTAATAACAATGTCAATAGGAATTAGTCTGGGATTTGTCACTCCACTTAAAACTTTAATCCTCAACACAGCAATCTAGGATTAAAGCAGATACAGTAGCTAGAAAGGAGGATGTACATGAGGCTCAGCCTGGGTTTCAGGGCAAATGAGCGCTGCTCGAAGAATCTCAAACAGATGGCAAAGCAATGAGCTTATACCAGAAAATAACGAAATATTAAACACGTTGAAAGAGAAAAAAATCTTCAGAAAATCTCAACACGTTGTATGGTGCTAAATGTTGACATAATTACTTTAATCATCACCATAATACAACAACTTGCACTTATATAGCACCCTCCACACAGGGTAGCGTCTCAAAGCACTTTGAGCACTCTACCAACAGTGGTAGAGCCTGACCCCGAGCTGGAGGGGGATGGGTGGGGAGGCGGACGGGAAGGTGACCCTAAGCACTTGATGCAGCGCCTTATGTGGAAACATATCCAAGTTTCGTAGTATTTAAGGTTAACTGTAGTGACTGTACATGTATGGGTGGATGCAACAGCCAGCAGGTGAATGCCAAATTGAACTCAGGGTTTAACGGCCAGCACACTGAGGGAAATTCCTTTTCTTGTGGAATTGAATCACTGGGTTCCTTTACATCCAACTGAACAGGGCAGACGGAACTCAAATTAATACCCTCATCTGAAGGAGTGTTATCTTAGATTATGATGTTAAAGTCTTCGATATGGGATTTGAACTCACACTAACAAAATTTGCAAAGAATGTATAGCTCAGAAACAGGATAATCGGCCCAAGTAGTGTATAATGTTTTTTATTCGCCACCCACCTCCTTACTCCTTCCTATATGTTTCTATTCCCTTCTCCTTCACTTGAAGGGCTAGTTTCCTCTTAAATGTCTCTACACTATCTGATTCAATCACCACTTCAGGCAGCGAGTTCTGCATTCTCACTGCCCTCTGCGTGCAATAGTTCTTCCTAAATTCTCCTTTAGATCCTTTAGTTGCTATCTTATATAGTACTTGTATCCCCTGGTTACGGACTTCCCAGCCAGTGAGAATAGCCTATTTATGTCGACCTTATTAAACCCTTTTGAAATCTTAAACACTCTACTAGGTCTCCTCTTAAACGTCTCATCTCTAGCGAAAAAAGACCTCACCTATCCAGTCTATCTTAACAACAGTAATGTGCCAGGCTTGGTATCATCCTCGTAAAACTATTCTGTACTCAGTCCATCAATCTATATCCTTGTACTTTGTACTCCAAACGTGGTCTAATCAAGGTTTCATATAAATTCGACATCACCTGTTTTAAACTCTACCCCATGGAAAAAAGAGCCAAAGATTCCATTGCCTCTTTTATAGCCTTATCTATCTGTATAAGGCTTTTCGAGATTTTTGGATCTGAATCCCCAGATCTCTTTCCTCCTCTACTCATCTTAGGTCACGACCATCTTTCTCGGCTATAGACAGCTTCCTTATTGTTTCTGCTGAAGTTAAGTACTTTGCATTTTCCTCTCTTAAACTTCATTTGCCATCTGTCCATTCTGCTATTCTGGTTATGTCTTCCTGTACTATTCTGCATTCCTCTTCATTATTTATTTCAAATGATTTCTTTGAAATAGCCCTGTACAATTTTTAGACTCTTACTATTATTTTTTTTGGCTGGGGTTCAATATGTGGTTTATTCATATATTCCACATATATGTGGTTCATTCACTGCCCCGTCTTATTCCCATAACCCCGATTTCATGTACATGTCTACTTTTCTCTTGAAACCTGCAAATGACTCTGTCTCAACCGCCCTACTCTGCAGGGCATTGCACATCCCAACCACTCTTAAGTTCTCCTTTTGCTGTTCCTATGGCTATCTTATAACTAAGTGCTGTAGTCCCTGACTCTCCTATCAATGGATATCCTGTCTCCACACATGCATTTTCCAGCCTCAGCGACTGGATAGTGCTCAGATGTGTCATCCTTAGTTGATTTTTTGCCTACCTTAAGGACATTAAGACTGATTGTACCAGCCCAAGCCAGGCCAACACCCTATGCAGTTAAGTTATTCACACACCTTTAGAAATTGTGTTGTTTTGCAAGTTTACACAGAGGTTTAAGTGAATGTAATGTACAAAGCAAAAAAAGAAGAAAAATGCCTTCACTCACCTCTTCAAATTTATGTGCTATCATTGAAAAAGCTTTGAAAATGGCATCCGTCGGGCCTGTTATTGTTACAATACGTTCAGGACAGGATCCCTCTGAAATATTGATTCTTGCACCACTCTGCAAAAGAATAGTCCAGGACTGAATACTACCGGAAATAGGAATCAAGCTAGATTTCCCTGATACCAAACTGAAGATTCCACTTACCTCCTCTCTCATATTTTTTACCGTTTCTCCTTTCTGTAAAACAAACACAGATATTTTTATTGTTACGGTGCTATTCATTCAAAACATAGGAAACAGGATGGGGGTGGACTGAAAACTAAGGTGACTAACCTTTCCAATAATGCTTCCAACTTCCTGTAGAAAACAAAACAGAAAGAATGCTGTGTTAAGGATGAGTTAAAGATCTAATTTTTCTGAAATAGAATCCTCTAAAGTAAACAAAATGCAGTTGATCATTTACCAATTGCAGTAATTTTCAGAGCATCACTTTAAATGGTAAATTAATAATGATACTTGCATTTGATAGACCTCCTTGCATTTTGCAAGGATGTCTCAAAGCACACAGTGCAGTGACTGGTTTACTCATGGTTAACATATGGTGCATAACAAGCCCAATGTGTTTTCTAAGTTAATATAACTAATGGATTAATTTGCACAAGGGCAATGGCTTATCAATGGTAAATACTGTGTCAGCCTGGCTCAGCGATAACACTCTCACCTCTGAGTCAGAAGGTTGTGGATTCAAGCCCTACGTCGAGACTTGACACTCATATAGTCTGAGGTGACACTCCAATGCAGACCTCGGGGAGTTCTGTATTGTTGGAGGTGCCATCCTTCAGATGAGACGTTAAACCAAGGCCCCTGTTTAGGTGAATGTTAAAGATCCCGTGGCACTATTTGAAAAGAGAACAGAGTTTCTCCCACTGTCTTAGCCAACAATCCCCAGATAAAACATAGATTCATTCTATGGCAGTTTGTGGGACGATGCTGTGTGCAAAATTGGTTTGTTGTTGTACTGCATTCACCCACCAAATATGCAGTCATTCTACTTCACAATATATCCTGTGACCTTGGGACAAAGAGAAATTCCCTTGCTACATTTTATCTTTTTTCCATTCATTTGTAAATAATATTCAGTTTATTCTCTTACCTGCCTTTGTTGAGAAATGAGGAAAAAGACACTTGTAAAGAATATTTTAGAAAGATCGTGTAAAGGAATGAAAATGAAATCGGTTTGTTCAAATTTCGAAGCTTTCCGCTTTCTCTCACCAAATGTCATTTTCTCCGAATCTGTATTCACAAACTGGAATTAGATTGTCATTGAAAGTAGAAATGGCAGATTTAAGCCTTCAAGGACTTCCCCGAGTTATAGATGACCAAATAAGCATTTGGGGTGAGAGGACAAGGAGTTGATTTACTTTCAGATCTCTGCAAGTGCTGACCTGTAATAGACCCCTGTGAGTTTCCTTTAGATGAGTTCGGAATAATTCTCCCTCTTTGTAGTGAAGCAATTAGTCTCTGTTCCTCATTTCCGACAAACACACGACCAATTTATAAAGTCACAATTGGAAATAATAAGGGTGAATCTTACGGCACTGAATATTGCTGCTCTAATGCTGCTCCACTGCTACATACCCCTCTCCCAAGATTTTTACATTTTATTTTTAACAATTGTACTTTTTAAATGGTCAAAAGCCTTTGTCGACTTGTCATCCAAATGAAGTTCAAGTACATTGATACGAAACCTATAAAATTATGGGTGCTCTTCATATATCAAATGTTTTGAGATGTCCATCTAACTTGAAAGGCACTATATAAATGTGAATTGTATTATATTTTCTCCCAAGCAATGGTGAATAGTCTTTCCAGTAGTATAACATTCTCTTATTTGAAGACTTCAAAGCCTTTGTGATGCTCAGTTTTGTGACAACGTCCGTAACATAATACAAATAATATAAATTCAACTCCAACATATACCTCTCTCAGGTTTATATCAAATAATAGGTTCTGGATGTGAAGCATGAGCCTTTAATGTAATCAAGGAGTTCAGACGACATCCCAACACGAGAGCGAAACAGTGCAGATTTATAGCCATCACCAGAACTCTGAGATTACATTACATCCTTGAACATGTTGTTTCCCGCACTTCCTGAGATCCGATAAATCAAACACAGCACATGTTCTCTTAATCTAAAAATTAGAACATCTGTTTCTTATATTGCTGAGTTAGTTACGGTATCTTAATGCTGTGAGTTGTGTTGTTTGCAAGAGAATATTAAATGTATTGTATTTCTCATGTCATCACCACAGCATTATCAATGGATCATTTGCAATATGTTCCAAGGATGTTTTCTCACAGTGCTGTATAGATTCTAATATTGTTTGCTATCAATAAATATTTAGTGCTCTTGTAGCTAGATAATACATTTCACAATCCCATTTCATAGAAAATATATTCCTTTGAGGTTCAATTTCTCTTCTTTCATAAATTAATTGTTTATCCCTGATCCAGTTTGGATATGCAAATTATTCGTAAATTAAAGCAATTTAAATGGGTCAATGTTAAAATTTGCACGCGTGCTCCATTATACTAGACTGGCATAAAGAATCTATGTTTATCATTTGGAAACACAGGTTATTTTGTTCTTATGTAGTGAAAATAGTTGATGAGGCTCAAGCATATTCTACTCTGCTCAGAACTTGTTTATTCCACTGTGCTTATAAATAACTAAAATAATTTTAAATGATAAATAATACAACATAAATGTATAATTAAATTATACTTTTAAAATTATATTGCATTAAAGATTGATGCCCAATACCTACTAAAATTCTGTTATATATTAATATGAATTCAATCAAAACGTGGAGACTCTTACAGTACGATAGTTTTACAATGGCTCCAAATCACCATTTTATACTCAATTTGAAATACTGCACAGGATTCCGATTCTCTTGTTGTAAAACTGACACGGCTAATTTTTTCAGGAGTTCATGAACAAGCAGCAATAACAAGGCTTTGCTCATGTAGGAAAGTGAAAATAAGATAAATGATTAATTAATCCTTCAAACAGTCAGTTATCCTCAATTTACCATTGTGACTACATTATTGCTCAACTTGAAATCTGCAGAAAGTCATTTTGAAAGGTGGAGTGAAAATGCAGTATTCAATAGGCTAGATATGTCTGCATTGCACAAAGAAAATTCAGAGATTTATTGTAATGTAGTGCAGGAGAAAAAAGATCAGCTATTAATAGCATTTGAAAAAATATACTGCACTCATCATTCATGAGCTTGTGATGTAAAAATGTTATCCGACAAACACATTAAATGCAGTTTTACAAGATTGTCATTTAAACCTTTTATGTGCATAATGTATTGGGTTAGACTTATCCGGAATAGTGGATGCAGTTTTAGTCACCTAATCTTCAGAAGATATTACAGTCCTTGAGAGGACACAGAGCAATCAAGAGGAATCTAAGTTATAAAGAAAGATTAAAGAGATTGGATTTGTTCGCTTTGTAAAAGAGGACTGCAAGTTACAAATGGGGATGGAGCCAGAAGGAAAATCAAGTTATATAAACACTTCTAAAGGGAAATAGAGCTGTGGCTTCAATTGCCAGTGAAGATCACTAAAGTAAAAAGTATAAATGGTTCAATCCATCCGCAACATTCCTTGTTTGCCTCACAATGCACATTATTACTATCTACTCCCCTATTCATTCCCCTCTCCTACTCTCACTCAGTGCTTCAGACACCCCAGGCCACTTGACAACAAACTGCTGGATCTCCATCATTATTTTGTGTGTGTGGAGAGGCGGGGGGGGGGGGGGGGGGAGAATTTTTAATTTTTAATTCAAGTACAAAAGAACTACATTCCATTGATAATATTTATTGTAGTATTGATATCCTTTCGTCATTTAATGTAAAATTTCAATGCCTAAGGGTAATTGAATGCAAAACAAGAGAGCAAAAATATAAGAAAGATAACAGTAGGTCTAATAGGCAAGAGTTTAGGACAAACTTTTTAATGCAAAGGGTGGTGTGAATAGGGAATTCATTGTCAGAAGCTGTGTTTGAAGCAAGAAGCATAAATGAATTTAAAAGAGAACTTGGAGCACACATAAGAGAGAAGGGAAGAGAGCAGTGGTGGCCAACCTGTGGCCTGCAGGGCTGTCAAGAAGTGGCCCACCGAACATTCACACTAGTTTAGGTTAGTCTGTTTTAAATCAATGTTTTGTTTCCAGTAGCTACTGAGTGGCGATATTGATGGTGTGGCCATAATTCAAGAAATGTTCAATCAATAAACTTTATTTGGTTGGCCGACCAAAAAAGGTTGACTACCACAGGAATAGAGGGTTATAGGCAAGGGGAATAGCAGGGATGGGAACACATGTGGAGTATAAACCAGAATGGCCTGTTTCTATGCTGTATCACTCCACGTAAATGTATGTACTATGTGTCTGAGCATGGCGTGAAGCTGAATCATCCTCGTAATTTTCTTCTCTCTACTTGACACCTTCCCAGACAGCCTGGCTGAGTTCTACAACTCACTGTGTGGAGATATGCAGCCAGAATAATAGTATTTTTAGATCATCATCCAAGTAACTAACCATTTTCATTTCACTATCTACAACCTTATCAGGTCCCTTCAACATGAAATAGTAGTTGTACAAGTTATAAAGACTTGCCTTTAAACAAGCTACTTGCCAGACAGTGCTATCAATGGTAAGTTATATGGTTTTAGCTGGTGACACTGCAGCAGTACCACAACGCACACTCCGGGGTCCCCAGGCCTGTCCCACCAAGCGCGCATTCCATTCCAATAAATATCTATGGAATTTCCATTATGTAGGTGGGATGCATGGAACTCTTAGTTTGGTTTGGATATCCTTAAGCATGGTGATGGGTTTCCACATGTGTCAGACATCTGATTGACCAAAATGTTGAATAACGGTCGTAATTTGGACTCTCACAACAGGCAGGATTGTTAAGCATCTTGTGACGTCTTCCTGACACGAGAGGTGCTATATAAATGTAGATTTGTATTTGTTGTATTTGTATTCTTCATTTTTCATTTGGAAGCTGCAAGTTTTCAGTCTTTCGTAAAAGACCTGCCAGAAAACAAGCTTTCAAGTAAGACTTAATATAAGACATTTTCAAAATTCCATACAAGATTACATTTCAAGACAATGATCTTCAGTCTAACACCATGGGAACTTTGAATTATTGTAGTTCTGCACCACTCAGATGGAGGCATTTTGGTACAGATACACAATGAATGAAGTTCTAATAAACACTCTTGTATGAGTTGTGCTGCTGATTACAAAAGAAAGTGGCACAAAGCCCAGCATCACTGTAAGGATGTGTTCACCACTACTGGGCTATCAAAAATAATTATAATGTACACACATAATCATAAAATTTTAAAACCCCACAACAGCTCCTAATACCTCATTAAACGGTACACTCATGTTTCCTGAAGAGTTTTGCATATAAATTTGGAATATATTTCAAAGAATGGAACAGTGACCTTTCATTCTAATTTAGCATCACATCTCAACCAAGGAGGTGTCCCAGCAATAGCCCCATTTCAATAGCAGCATTACAGCTAGAACTAACACAGCATCTCAGAATCCATGTATGTGCCATTCTTCATCTGCCTTAAATGTATCCACAGGCACGACACTTGTGCAAGTCAACAGATATAACATGCAAAACCCGATTCAGATAAAATTGGGAGTGCTGAATTACGTGATGCCTCTTTGACTGCAACTACGCTCACCCCCACCTCCTTGCTCAGTGTCCAACCCCACCATTGTGCAATGCTCTGAGACATTATCCTGTGTGAAGGCTGCTATATGAATGCAAGTTGGTCTTGTTGATGTAATTCAATGATTGGCACTCCCTAGATTTGGAGGAGACCAAACACTCTACAGCCAATGGTGCAAAATCACTAGATCTGTTTCAATCAAATATTTCAAGACACAAAATATGTTCTATTCTGCAAGGCTGTTCAATAGTGGAAATGTAGGATGAATGCATATTCTATAGGTTTAGCTTTATTATCCTAAGGGATCTATAAGGAATTGGCCCTGAGGAGACAGATAGGCTTGAGCGCTTTGATGTGAGAAATTGTGAATCAGCTCAGGCGAGAGTGTGGATTTCATGCTTCTTTGCCAGATAATGGCCTAGAAATAAATCTACAACTAAAAAAGTTAGCACAGACTGTGAAAGCAAGAAAAAAACTCCAGCCAGAAAACCTGAAATTTCCCTAAGTACCATTATTAAAAGGTTACATTGAATAGGATTTTACCAAATTATTTTCCATTTTTGTCTTACACCTATAACATATACCATCTGAAACAGCAGGCAGGCAATGTGCTATCACATCTTTGTCAATGTTATTTTGGGGGTGAACAGGATACACAACATCCAAGCGTCTCTCTGGCCCTGGTAGACAGTGCTTGGATTTGCTTGGATTTGCTTGGACAGGTAAGATTGGGAATTCATCAAACAAGGGATTCCTGGCATGAAATAACTGGCATCTGGTCTCATAGAATTGAACGTCACCATTTGGTGAATGGGAATTAATTCTCTATAAGTAGAATTATCTGGGGGTAATGCTCTCACACATTTCATGCTGAGTTGCATTGTCCATCAGGAAGTTCCTGCTACCTGCCATCTACCTAGTGAGGGCTCAAATTCACACTTGTCGGATGTCACATAACCAACTAGTGACTATCCTCCTTGGGGAGGGGGAGGGAGAAGATAAGTTGGGTGGAGTCTCCTTGGAGCTGAACAGTCCCCAAGATGACATGCTTGGCAACGGCATATCAGAATCAAGCTAGCCCTCTGTGGCACTCTTAGTAGTCTGGTTCCTGAGGCAGGTGGGTTCGCAGTATTCCAGGGGACAGCCAGCCTGGCACATCGACAGGACCTGGAAGGGCAGATCAGTCACAGGGGGAGGGAATACTCCCACTCAGCTCCTGTTAATCCTGCAAGCCAAAGCCCTAACAGGGTAGGGTGATCTGAGCTGGACACGCATCAGGAAAGCCTGCCAGACAGTGCTATATAAAGCTATGTGTTTTTTAGTTGCTTAGACCCCATCCAGCACCACCCCAAAGCATACTCTGGGGTCCCGAAGAATTGGCTCTTCCCAAAGTGCATCTAATACTTTCCGGAATTAGGTAAGCAGGATGCATCTTTCCAGGGAGAGAGTGCACATTCCATTCCAACAATCTGGGATTTCCATGTGTAGGTGGGATGCATGGAATTCTCAGTTTGGTTTGAATACTCTTCAGCATAGTGATGGACTTCTGCATATGTCAGACACTCAGCTGACCAAAAAAAATCACATGATGCGATTGATAATATTGCATTACACTATATTTCATGGTGAACCACTGGGATTTGGCAATGATTTGCTGTGCAAAATTATGAATAAATTTGTGTTGAGCCAATGCTATCTCATCTGGAGAGGAAGGTCATCAAGAGCAAGCAACACATTTCTGACCCAAAGTTACACCAATATTTGTAACACACGTCTACTTTTCTGAGATCTGAGATCCAGTTATGCCAATGTTTGTAAACATTTATTATTCTACAATTGAAACCAGTCCAGGTAATACCTGGCATTTGATGTTGCCTTCCATTTTCTTGAGAGCAAATTCTGCTGGCTCCAAGCTGAGCTACTGAAAGTGTACAATGCTACTGAATAGCTAAATGATATAGGAAGGAAATCGTCCCTGTAGGAATATAGTGAAATATCAAAAAATAATGATACAACACGTGGTTCAAATCTACCAACGCAGTATCTTGACCTAGCCAATATTTTCTTCGGCATTCCTTAGACAGATGGAGGCCCACAATTTATATAAAATCATAAGAAGCTTCAAGCGTCAATGTCAGTCTAAGGAGTTCCACAAATAAGGAAAAGTAATGTAATACCCTGTACAGTACAGCAAGAACATTAAGATAAAAATCTTTTTTTTCCTAATCCGATTTTTGACCATAATCCCGTTCTGTAAACCATGAGTTTTTTATTACATAGCCTTGGGTTGGTAACGCCCCAATGTTAGGATCCCAGGCACATTTACTTCAAAGTCAATAAGCAATTTACACATGGTCTTAGACATAGCCTTGTGTTGCCATTTGTTGTCGTTATCACTGTACCTTTCCATGCATAAGTAGGCGGATTGTAAGAGTGACGTTGAGTCCCCCTTCAGTCACTTTGGCTTCTGATCTACTCATTGTGGCTCTTCAACACTTGGAGGCACTCTCACTGCTTTTAAACAGAACCCCTACAATCCTGCAATAAAAGAAAGGAACATTTGAATGATTCAAGGTCTCTCTTCAATGATTAATTCTATTAAGCGTGCTTTACAGTTTTAAAAAAATGTAAGTGATTGATCACAGTAAATTTCTCCTTTGGATGCAATGCAAACACAAAAGCAACAACTTACAGTTAGATACTCCGAATCTTGCATTCTGCATCCAATATTGATATGTATTAGGAGTTACCAATAAAGGCATTTGGCACATTTTGTATCCATGTGGGTGTAATTTCAGTTGCGATTTCATCTAAGCATTAAAATTCATTGTAATGTTAAATAATAATAATCTTTGGACTTGATATAACATCTTTCATGTTCGGAGGTCATCTCAGAGAATATCACAGTAATTGCTGTAACGCATATTGACTGTATATCTTGTACTTGATCATTGCAGCCAATTTGCACACAGCAATGTACCATAAATAGCTATGAAGTGAGAGACCAATTTTATCCAGGGATTGTTGGCCAGGACCCTGTATTGGATGTCAGGCTAGGTTGGGAATTCAATGTCTCAAAGTTAATGCATTAAAGCGAGGTCCCATCTGCCTGTTCAGGTGGATGTTATAGATCTCTTGGCACTATTTGAGGGGAGTTTCTCCAGGTGTCTTGGCCAACGATCCCCCAAAGTAGAGTTGGTTACTCAATCCATGGCTGTTTGTGGGACATTGCTGTGTGCAACTGGCTGCCACATTTCACCCACGAAATACGCAGTCAATCCACTTTACAGTATATCCTGTGAAGCGCTTTGAGAGTCTCAATGATGTGACAAGGCTCTATATCAAATACAACTATTATTATTATAATGTAATAAGATGCTACATCAAAATGCAAGCATTATGAAAAATGTTAATCGTTCGATACAATACTCGAGTGGTTTCAAATCAAAATCAGCCTTCCTGTTTTCCTTCTCCCTCCCAAAAAATAGACCCAGTAATAAAGAGAACATACACAACACTCTTGGCCTTCCTTCTCCCTCATTGACAAAATATTTTAGATGTTTTAGTGTTGTTCCATTTTCAACATAACACAGACTATTTTTAGCGGTTAGATCAGTTTTGTCAGGCTAGCTGAGCAGAAGTGCTCTGTGAATTCCTGTGAGTCAAAAATAAAATATGCCAGGGACTGCCCTCTTCTTTCTGCTACAAAGGGCTAATGGAATGCATAAACCTTTGATGTAATCCTCTAATGGGGACAGAGACTTATTTTGCCAACATTTAACATTGTACAGGACACATGCCTCCTCAGTCAAATATTAAGAATAATTTCAACAAACTGCATAAGGTCGTATTCTGTTGGAACTACAAATATTAAATACTTTGGGATCCGAGCACCAAATGCGCTTATTGAACAGCAATGTAATTAAATACACGTATGTAGCTTGTTCCATTCATCACATGGATTAATGCTGCCAGGTTTCCAGCTTTTTTTGGAGATCTATCTGTATGTGCCCCAGGACAATTTCAGCGCCCTTCCCTTGACATCCTTTCACAAAATGACTTTATTCTTGATGACATGAGGAATAATCAGAACCTTATTTAATCCAGATAAGAGAGAGTAAAGAGCCACAAATCTATCATAGATTAAACCAAACGTTGCCCTGATCTAAGGCTTATAAATTAAGTTTAGTTCTTTTTTGGGGAAATTCTTGGTTTCATCATGGATGGATCTTGCCCCCAATGAGTGTCATTATTACATCCACCTGAATGAGCACTCTTAAAATGGTTAACAGATGATAGCCAGCGCTGTGCAATTACTAACCTCAGCCCTGAGTGAAGGAGAAGCGATTGCAGGTCACACCTGAAGGCAATTTTAATGGAGCCTATTTGAGAAAGGAGGATTTAATAATGTAGATACAAATGTAAGGGATTCCTTTCACTTGGAATAGTAATGAAGGCTCTTTATTTAAGTTTGCATTGAAGCTTGAATTATTCCTTTGAGACAGAACTACTTTCACTAAAAAGCTACCCAAAACTCTTTTGAGCTTTTGCTCAACATCTTAAATATGACCTTCTTTGTAAGCAGTTAGTAGACACCCAGGTATTCTAAACAGGAACTTAAACATTACACTCCTGTATCTTAAAAAACATATGCAGGAGCTAAACAAGAATAAGTTCACAGTATAGCCATGTTTGCACTTTTATAGATAATATGCTTTGATTCACAATGGGTTGGTCTGGGCTAAAGTGCTGAATATATCCTCGTGCTCATAATAATAATCCTTGTATTTGATATAGTGCCTTTTATGTCGTCAAAATGTCTTAAAAGACTTCACACGATATACTGTAAAGTGGATTGACTGTGTATTTTTTCGTGAGCTAAATCATAATCAACAACAATCATCATCATTATTATGCTGAGCTATTGCTCAAACTCCACACTTCCAAATACTGGAACTATCATTCAATTGGTAGGAAGGTGTGTTCAAACTATGGACAAGAAAATGGTGGCAATGCTCTCCCATATTTTGCGTTGCAACAGAAAGCTTGCAGTGAGTTCCTGGTATCGGTATCCATTTAATGACGGCTCAAGCTGCCGCTGTTAAATGATCAACAAGCGACTACCCTCTGATGGGGGGATGCGGGGGGAAGAAGGAGAGGATATAGCGGAGATCACTTTGTTCTGAGCTGATTTGAAGGTGTCATGCTTGACAATGGAACATTGTAATTGAATCAACCTTCTGTACTGGTCTCGGTTGTTCGATTCCTGAGACAGACAGATCGCAGTATTCAAAGACATTGCTGGTAGGAGACCAGCCAGTCTGGCTTATCATCAGCAGGATTTGGAGAGGCAGACTGGGGGCAGGGATTTTTCCTACTTGATTCTTAATAACCTTGCTATCCAAAGTTCTAATGGGTAAGGTGGTCCTATCTGGACAAGCAGTGTGAAGCTTGCCACACAGCGCTCTGAATGAGTACCCCCAATACACGCTCTGGGATTCCCAAGCCTTGGCTCTTGCCTAATACTCTATAGATTTGGGTAAACAGGGTCCATCTCTTTAGCAAGAGAGTGCGCATTCCAGACACAAGGACATTTCCGCATGTAGGTGACATATAAGTGTAGTTCTCAGTCAGGTTTTATATAATAACTAGCTGTTCCCATTGCAGCTTTGCTTGCAACCAAAGGATCCAATATAGAATGTAGATTTCAGTGATACCATTTAACGTCCCATAAACACTGTGTGTACACCTGAAGCAAAACTACCATACGTGTGTTTAGTTTGCTTAGCTCATAGCTCATCAACGATAGATCCCTCCCCAATAAAAATATGCCCATGACATTCCCCCATGCAAGTCCTTTCTGTTGAAGTATAATTCATGTCTCTATGTCAATCGGTTATTGTATTATTGACGGACAGACAGACACAGACAGACATTTTGTCTTTATCAGTATAAGATCGGTTATTATATAAAATTATACACTTAAGGGCAAGTAAAGGGGGAGGGACTAAACTCCAGCCCCAGGTGAGGCCCCAACTCAAACCCCAGGCTTCACTCGCCCTAGCTAGTCGCTGCTTGGCCACGGCATGGAGGAACTCGGAAACCCTGTGGCCTTACTGAGCCAACTATCACCCGCCACCGGCCCAACTCTGACAAGGTGCTGCCCAGCCCAGGGCCACCCAGGAGCAGCAGGAAAAGCAGCCGAATGGCTGCCATCAACGCCACTCGAGGTAACTACTACCTCACCACCGCCATCTTGTTCCTGCCACTCGGCTTTGTGTGAGTGCATGTGTGCTGCATGCCACAGCACCACTGTAAATCGGAGCGGCCACCGGATGTAACTGCAGCTTACATGTAACTGTCATACATGTGTGATGAGCTTGTTTAGGTCATAGCTCATCAAATGCTAGGAGATACCCATAAAACATGACACTCCCCCATGCAAGACCTTTCCACTGAGGTATAAATCATGTCTCTACTTCAATCGATTATTGAGTTCTTAGTGGACACACAGACAGACACACAGACATCACATCTTCATTAGTATAGATAATCCTTGGATTTGGTACTGGTCCTTATCATGTCAGAAGTACGTCTCAAAGCGCTTCATAGGATTTACTGTGACATGGAGTGACTGTGTATTTGTAAGCAAATGTCGCAGCACAATTGTGCACAGCAGTGTTCCACAAACAGACATGAAACATATGACCAGATTTGATATTCCTCAGCATGATGATGGATTTCCGCTAAGCAAAAACCAAATCTGTGGAGGGAATTTTTAGGTTAATGGTTTCCTCAATGGCCCTCTCTAAATAGTTATACTCCCTTCAACTCTAGCTATTTTTTGATCTATTGTTTTATATCAATTGGAGTCGAGTATTGCTGGCACTGGAGTGATGATAAGGGCACTCAAACCTATTATTCATATTCACACTGCTCACACTTACCATGGATTTATATTTTTAAATATATGAGTATAAAATGTGATGTGTCTTAACAGGTTCAATGCGTTATCAAATCTGTAAAAAAAATCACCCTTTCTAATCTACTGTATGACTCAAGGCTGTCCACAAGTGTGAACTCAAACTGAGTCTTGCTTCCAATATGGAAGGTACTATGTAAATGTTGCTGTATTTACAATTTCCTTGAATCATGAAGGCAGTAATAATCATTAAGGACAAATTGAAACAGAGCAGACTTTTGTACCTAGGTTTAGTGCTTGTAAAAACTGAAAATATTACCCCTTTCTATGATTATCTTAGTGTAAAATGTTAATGTACATAGTATAAAATGTCAATAGGTCTTCTCCCACACAAAATAAAATGAAAATGACTGTGAAGTGTTTGATACCTCTCGAAGACATGATAAGGCCCTATATCAAATGCAACGATTATTATTAAGAAGAAACAAAACTTTTCAGTTCAGCATGTTTTTCTTTATTAGACTTCTGACATTATAATAGAGAAATTAGTTTCTCCTGGTGTCCTGGCTAACAATCCCCAGATAAAAATTGGTTATTTAGTTCATGGCTATTTGTA